ACATGTAAGATGCAGATTTTTTTTGTAACATGTAAGATGCAAAAAAAAATATTTTGCCCCCCCCCCAACGATCTTATGGCACTTCGGCATGCCCGCTGTTGTGTTCACGTGTAGGCCTACTTCAATGAATGGATAGACATAAATAGTCGCATGGATGGATACATAATATAGCGTGGGGATTCTATAGCGTATAGTTGTCGAATATTGGCATGTTTGGCCCTTCATAGTCTCTTCGACTCTGAATAGCTAGCTCACTCACTCACTCAGCTCAGTCGAGCATGCAGCAGCCAGCGCAGCTGCACTGCACTACACACTGTATGCGTACGGCAGAGCTCTTGAAACTGAACGATGTTTTTCTCTGATTTTCTTGTGAAAACTTTCCTTTAATAAATGATAATCAAAACTGAGTAAACATGGCCAGAATAATCACAAAATAAGCTTTGATTTCATACCTCCACTCACGAAAACTTTATAAAAATCCCGGCAATAATGATGGAAATAGGTCTACGTGGATATGGGAAGACATCTGTTGCGCTGATTTTAGGCCTAGATATCATGAAATAAGCTAATAAATATCAAATAAAGACTCAACTCATTTAAATTTTAAATATCAGGTCTACATTTTAATTAAAATTTAAAAAATGGTAAAGATTACAACATCTAAAATATACAAAACAAACACGGGGAAGAAAAAAAAACTTGCGACGGAGGCGGGATCGAACCCGTGCGTGCAAAAAGTGCAAGAACTGCCGGCGAATCGAACGCCACCGGCGCCTCAGACCGCTCGTCCACTTCCGTTTCATGCTAAAGCATGAAGTACGTGACGGATAAGTAGGACGTGCGTGTTGTGGTACTATATGAATTACACCAATAGTTCACTGATGTGCGTAATGAGGCCGCGATTGGCGGAAGGAGATGGGAATAAAGCACTTTCAAGATGGCCACTTATACATGAACATTGTCTACAGTGATCTCTTATTTATCCGTTCATCTAATCTTTCAACATGGTGGCAGCGGTCAAAAGAATTGCCATATCTATTACTATGGAACTGCAGATCACATAGGGCCAGCAATAATCTTGAATGACTTATGAAAGAATGATAGGGACGGTTTTTGAACTGCCGACAATCACACTGCACAGCCAGCAGAGTAAACTCACAGCCGCGTCTCCAATATGACTTTGTGTCGGCGTAAGGTTGCGCACTGTATTACGCGGGCAACACTACGAGTAGACTAGTGCATTGACTGTCAGACTAAAGCCCTACATTCAGCTAGGACCAGAACTGATGCGGAGGCAGAACCAGAGCCTAGAGGCTCGCCAGGAGCAGAGCCTAGAGGCTCGTCAGGAGAAGAGCCTAGAGGCTCGACAAGACCAGAGCCTAGAGGCTCGACCGGGACCGGGAACAGTACAGCTATAGGCCGCTACCTCGGACTTCCAGCCCTGCACTGCATTTTGGTTTTGGAACTATAGCCTACGCCACTCGGACCCAGAGCGTCGTGTTGCGGACCGTGCAAGTAGACCCAGGACTGATTGCTGGACTTGGTCGGATCTGATTCAGTGATTGTGGAATGAAAACTAGATTAGACTCTTAATCAAATGGACTATAATCTAACTATTCTAAGCAGACATATAATGTTTGGACTCGGTTTGAAACAGTTAAACCATAAATAATGTGCTTTGTCGTATAAAACTGGACTAGTCTAGTCTAGGGGTCTAGATCAAGACCTAGCCTAGATAGATAGTCTAGACACTTTTTTTTCTAGTCTAGACTCTACTTATGAATCTAGACTAGACCGAGTATGAGAATGAGTATGACTAAGAAGGTGTAACTTGATCAAAATCTACTGTCACCTTGTTCTATATTACTAGACCTGGTCTATATCTAGACCTGGTCTATATCTAGACCAGATCTGGACTAGGCCTAGTCTAGATTTCTAGATGTTTTTACTTTAGACCTTGACGAGTCCAATTTCTTCATGTGGACCTGTCCTAATTAAATGAATGATACACATCTCTTACATGTATGTAGAAGAGCTGATGTACTACTAGACTCTACTAGATCTAGATATAGATCTAGTGGTAGACTCTACTGGTACTAGACCAAACAGTGGTCTGTGGTATCCCCTTAAAGCGGGTCCAGGACCAGTTGTCTATGTTAGACCAATTACACAAGGGGGTCCAATTGTCTATGGATCTAGACTTGATATATTTTGATACATTTGAACCTGCATTTTGAAGTTGTACATAGAGTCTATAGTGTAATATGCTAATTGCTCTGTAGGCCTACATGTCGATCTAAGTCACAATTCATGTATTACATGTAATATATTACCAGTGTAGTCCAAGACCCCATTGTAGGAACCAGGACCATGGCCCGCTATCCAGAGATGAAGTGGGACTCTCGGTGTGGTCTCGCTGATGAATTCACGTTATTTCAACAGCGAATGGAACTTTGCCTTCTCGATAATGAGATAACTGATACTACAAAACAGGCAACAAAAATAAAGATAGCTCTTGGGAACGAAGGGTTACGCAGGATAAACGCCTCTAGCCTCAGCGTAGAGGATCAGAAGGACCCAGGCAAGCTATGGGCCCTAATCGAAGGCCAACTGAATGACAAAGTGAACTTCAGGATTCATCGTCTCGAATTAATGCGATACAAGCAGATGTCTGGAGAAACAATCGACGAGTTCGTCAATAGATGTCGGAGTAAGGCAAAGGAATGAGAATTCACCGAAGGGGAATTGAGTGAAAGACTTATAGAGCTGGTGATTTCGTCTACACAACTCGAGTCATTTCAGAAAGACCTACTCGACAAAGAAAAAGGGTTCTCAGTTGATAAGCTTCTTGAAGAAGGCCGCAAATATGAGGCCATTCAAGTCGGTAAACAGTGCCTGCGGACGCTCCACACCATTGGAAGTGGGAACATTGATGCTGTTAGTCACGACAGTAGGCAGAAATGCAGGAACTGTGGTCTTTCACACCTTCCAAAGAAGTGTCCAGCCTTCGGGGACCTGTGCAATGCGTGTGGCGTCAAAGGACACTGGGCGAAGATGTGTCGAAAGACGAAAGATCCGGTCAAATCGAAGATCCCTCCTAGACGTCCACCATCACAAGACAGGTGGAGCTTACAGCAGAGACAGCCCAGAAACAGGCAGTATAGGTCTACATCCTTTCATAGCAGAAACCAGCGTAAGGTTGACGAAATTGGACCGGACGCCACAAAAACCAACCGGACAGTGAGGAACGTGAATTCCACATGATACATATATCGCTAAACTCTATTGACTCGGAGCAGACCGAAGCATATGCGAGTATCAACATCATATGTCCAGACCTGAGGGGTCACCATCGCCTCAATGCAAAGGTTGACACAGGAGCCAGCGGTAATGTTCTGCCACTTCGGACGCTGAAGGACATGTACAGGGCTCGATGGGAAGATGTTATCCGTCCCACCACTACGCGACTATCTGCCTACGGAGAAACGCCTTTACGCTGCTTAGGCACCTTGATGATGTCGATGATGTATGAAGGGTCGCCTTGGGTCGTAGACCAAACATGGTATGTTGCGGACGTAAAGGGACCAGTCATTGTCGGACTTCCTACTTCCAGAAAGCTAGGGATTGTTACGATTCACACAGTAGAACAACAGATGGGCCTGGACAGTCCAAATGATCTTCCTCCCATCAGGTCAGCTAAAGACCTACAGGCGGCTTACCCAGACCAGTTTGACCAGATTGGGAACTTCAGTGGCAAGGCAACGTTGCACTTGAAGAAGGATGCAACTCCATCAATTGATGCGCCTCGAAAATGCAGCATCCACCTGAGGGACAAGCTCAAGAAAGAGCTGGATCAGATGGAAAGAAACGGCATCATTAGGAAAGTTACTCATCACACAGATTGGTGCAGTTCCCTCACCACAGCCCTGAAGAAGGATGGGTTATTGCGAGTCTGCCTTGACCCCAAAAGGCTCAATCAAAACCTGAAGAGATGCCCTCATAAGATTCCAACTCTAGAGGAGCTCAATCCTGCATTCTCACAGGCCAAGTACTTCTCGAAATTGGACGCAAAGGCAGGATATTGGTCAGTCCACCTGGACGAAGAATCGCAGGAGCTTACTACATTCAGATCACCATTTGGAAGGTATTGCTTTCGCAGACTTCCATTTGGACTTTCGGTGAGTCAAGACATCTTTCAACAAAGGATGGACACAATCCTTGCACAGGCGCCCGGCTGTGAAGGTATAGCTGACGATATAGCAGTATTTGGCAAGACTGAACAGGAGCATGATGATAACCTCTGGAGACTGATGGGAGTTGCACAAAAAGAAGGTCTGGTGTTCAACAGTACAAAGTGTGTGATCAAGGCGAGAAGCATTAATTTCTTTGGTTCACTGTACACAGACAAAGGCATACAACCAGATCCTAGCAAGTTGGAGGATGTCAGAGAAATGCCTACACCACAGAACAAGGACGATCTCCAGCGAGTGTTAGGGATGATGACCTATTTATCACCATACATCTCAAACTATGCTGAAAAGTCAGCAATACTGCGTGATCTTCTGAAGAAAGATGTTCCCTTTACCTGGCAGGAGGACCATGAGGAATGCTTTCAACGATTGAAATCAGACATTTCAGAAGGAAAGTGTCTATGGTACTATAACCCCAGTGTCCCAACAGTACTAGAGGTAGATGCATCGCTCAAAGGACTTGGAGCCTGCCTCCTTCAGAATGAAAGACCAGTCGCATTCGCCTCGAAGAGTTTGTCAGATGCATAATCCAACTACTCAAACATCGAGCGAGAGACATTGGCACTTGTTTTTGGGATCACACGTTTCCATTCATATCTGTTTGGCAACCGGTTCACAGTCTACACTGACCATAAGCCACTCGAAACGATCTGTAGAAAGCCCCTGGGGAGTGCGCCTCCAAGACTACAGAGACTTCTCGTCAAAATACAGGGCTATGATTGTGATATCCTATACAAGCCCGGAAGTCAGATGACATTACCAGACACACTCAGTAGGTTGCCAAACCCCAGAAAGAGAGGAGACGTCATCGTTGAGCTCCGTGTAGATGAAGTCATGGAATTAGACGAGAATCATGACACTGATCTGGCAAGCTTTACACCTATGAAGCAGACACAGCTGCAGAGAGAGACAGCAAGCGATCCGAACTTGAAGCAGCTGAGTAGAATTATTCACGATGGATGGCCAGACGTGATTAAGCAGGTTCCAAGCAGCTCAAGGATTCACTGGTCGTACCGAGAGGAACTGGGCGTCGCCAACGGCATTATCTTCAAAGGAAGACAGGTGTTGATACCTTCAACGCTGCAATCAGACATCCTGGAGCAGCTACACACGAGTCATATGGGTATAGAGAGAACTCGTAGACTAGCAAGGGACACGGTATACTGGCCAGGCATCAATAAGGATATTGAAAACCTTGTCAAGACTTGCCCTGCTTGCCAGGAGAACCAGGATCGGCAACAAAGGGAACCACTACAACCGCACGAAGTTCCAATGACGCCATGGACAAAGGTAGCCACAGACCTGTTTTTTCTTGAGGGAACTGAATACTTACTCATTACTGACTATCATTCCAAGTTCCCTGTGATCAGGAAAATGCACAGCACCACAAGTGCTTCAGTTGCTACCGTAATGAAAGAAACTTTCAGCCTCCTTGGAGTGCCCTCCGAAGTTATATCTGATAACGGACCCCAGTTCATTGGAAAAGCTTTCAAAGACATGTGTGAGTCATGGAACATCAAGCACACCACCTCATCGCCGAGATATCCGCGCTCTAACGGCCTAGCTGAACGGATGGTACGCACCATAAAGTCGATGATTCAGAAGTGCAAACAGACAGGACAAGATGTCCAAAAGGCACTTCTCCACCTTCGAGCAACGCCTCAGTCCGACCTGCCATCTCCTGCCGAGATGATGTTTGGGAGGCAAATGAAGACAACACTTCCAGGTCGCCATGACAGACAGATGAGCGATGTCCACGACCAGCTCCAGCGAAGGAGGGATAGGATGAAGAGCGACCATGACAGACATGCCGGCCGGGTACTGCCCCTCCTGAAGGTCGGCCAGAAAGTCAGAACCTTGCATCCGGAAGACAACACATGGCTGCCGGCTGAGGTTTCAAGAGTTTGCCCAGAACCAAGATCATATGAAGTGACAACACCCAATGGTAGGGTGTTAAGGAGAAACAGGTCCCATCTTAGAGAGATGCCGATACAAATAGAGACGGCAACAGCACCCCCACCAGGGACAGAGCATCTTCCAAGAGAGGATGGTGACAACTGCACAACACCCGCAGGAACACAGGATTTCGATGGTTCAATCCCTTGTTCTGATTCTTTTGCCTATGTCACACGATATGGTCGCAAGGTTCATCCCCCATCTCGTTATCAAGAATAAAAACTTCATCGATTAATAGATTGATAAACAACAACTATACTTTATTTGTTTAATGATTTAGCATATCCGGTAGAATTACATTGATGATAGTAAAACCTCATATTTGACATAAGGTGATTCAATTTCTTAATCAGTATACATGTATAACCAAAGTGTTTTATATAACTGCCACGCTTAATATTGGTTATCTTTCAACAGAAAATCTCTTTTGTATACAGAACCGAATTTAGCAATTGTATGCCGTGCTCGTGCATGATATTTCAACTCTCCACACAAATACCAGGAATTATAGTTTTGTTACGCAGATTTGTCGTATTGCTAAGTCCTAATTAAAATGGGATGAAAAACGTTTTTTCGAAGGAAAATGTTGTTTATAACTGTTTGCCAGAAAGCAATATGGAATCACTTTAGTTTATTCCAGCAAAAGTTATGTAAAGTATAAAAAGTTGAATTACATTATACAAATATGTCGATTCAGCAACAAAATATGCCTGTTATAGTGGAGGACACTATTTTACCATTCTAAAATTTGCTTTTCTTGTTGAAAGGTACTTGTAAGTTTTAGTTGAACAGTTTTTAGTACTTTGCTTCTCGAAAAAAAAAAGAAAGAAAAAAAGAAGAATATGTTTGGAATGTTTCCTCCTGTTGAAATTTCTAAATTGTGTTACTGTTTTAGTGGATAATTTCCGTCATGCACAGTGCATATTGAGCAGGGAAGATACAACTGGTTAAGGAGAGCACTATCAACTTGTCATTGAAAGAAGGGGGATGTTGTGGTACTATATGAACAACACCAATAGTTCATTGATGTGCGTAATGAGGCCGCGATTGGCGGAAGGAGATGGGAATAAAGCACTTTCAAGATGGCCACTTATACATGAACATTGTCTACAGTGATCTCTTATTTATCCGTTCATCTGATCTTTCAACAGTGCGGACGCATCGACGACGTCGACGACGACCGGGACGTTGCACCGGGCCGGGACGTGGCCCATTCCGTAGATTGAAACGCCGTCCGTCCGCGGGACCGCCCGGCGGCGCCCGGGGCGGGCGGGAGGGGAGATTTGGGCGCCGTAAAATGGACCCCGGATACCCCCCTCGACGCCTTAGCGTATTATTATATGGACTAGCAGGACCCGCGGAAATCCGCGGGATTCTAGAGGGGGCGGGGGGTGTAAATAGATATATAGAGAATGTCTAAATTAAAACCACCAAGAACGTTATTTGCCATTCAGGCCATTAAAAAATATACATGTTTAGCGTCCCCGCCCGCTTCCTTTTTGGGGGCCGCCTCCTATTTTTTTTTTTTTTTTTAAAGAAAAAAAACATCGTTCCCGCCTGCTTCTTTTTTGGGGGCCGCCTCCTATTTTTTTTTTTTTTTTTTTTTGAAAGAAAAAAAACATGAAAAGCACTGCTAAAATGTATTTCTGATTTTAAAAAAGAAAAAAAAAAAAATTGTCGGCCGCCATCTTGAAAAGTAGCCCGAATGCCAGGGAAAATGTACGGAGCGGCCATTTTGAAAAAAAGAAAAAAGAAAAAAAAAGCGCCTCCTACTTCCCATTTTTCAAAAAAAACAGGACGCTATAAGCATGTTTTTTAAAAAATTTGGCCTTATATTAAATTTAAAAAAACAATCCAACTGTACCGGTAGTTATTCTTTAAGCCACTGGAACTGCGTAGAGTTCCGTAGTGTGGCGTACAGACTACGCAGAAATTAGGCTGCGTATTAATGGGAAAATAGTCCCTGCGTAGGTTATGCGTAGGCTGGCGTACAGGTTTGCTTATGGTTGCTTACTGTGTGGAAAGCTTTTACTGCTTAGTCGATCTGGCGTAGGGTAGCGTACTGTTGCGTAAAAAGGTGGACTTTCTGCGTAAAAAGGCGTAATTTCTGCGTCAAGTTTCTACGCCGAAAGTACGCAAAAAAAATTAAACATGTTGAATTGTTTTCGTTCACCTTGCGTACCCCTTTCCGTCCCTCAGCATATAGTAACATAGGCCAGCGTAGTTGGTACGCAACACTACGCAACTCTACGTATTGACCCCACGCCAATTAGTGACCCGCAAGTGTCACAAATAAAGTATTAAAAATATGCTCATCTGACCCTAATTAAACGCCTAAAACCCCCGAGCTTTCGGGGGTTTATGGCCCCTTGAAACCCGTGGACCCCACGCCTATATTATATATACACTCAACTCGCTGCGATCTGATCTCTCCCCCCCCCCCAACTTCGAAGAACGTAACCTCCGAGCTTTTGGGGGTTTATGGCCCCTTGAAACCCGTGGACCCCACGCCTATATTATATATACACGCAACTCAGGACCCGTGGAAATCCGCGGGATTCTAGAGGGGGGCGCAGGCAAAAAATTAAGTTTTTCATTTCGGGGGCTTCTTTTTCAACTTTCGGGGGCTCTTTTTTCTGGGGCTACTTTTTCATTAATTCATAAAAAACGATAGGCCTACACTTTGTTGAGATTTGTTCAGTAGGCTAAGGTTTCAGGCTTCCTTCTTCATAATTGCCTATTTAAAAAAAAAAACATTTTTCTAGTTCAATAACTAAGTTTCATGCATTGATTTGATGCAAGAACTGTAACATAATAGACCCTAGATTGTGATTATTTCTGACCATTAATTTCGATAAACATTTTTCAAAGTAAAATTTTCACAAGAAAATCAGACAGTCGTTTAAAAACGTAGACATTAGTAATACTTTTACTAATTCTAAGCTCAGGTTTCGTAAATCTATTCACGAAACTATATTAAAATCGCGGCAATAATGATGCAAACCAACAGATAACAATTTCAAAGTGTCAAATCTCTTCGACTCAAGCTTAGGTGAACTCACACACACTGCAGCGTAACTCCAGGAGCTTCCTGCAAGCTCATCGCAACTGACACACACTACACATCAGCACTGCACTTTGTGTTGACTGAAGGCAGCTTGCGACTAAACTGTCAGTCCAATGGTTTTCTTGTGAAAACTTTCCTTTAGAAAATGATAATCAAATTTTAGTATACATTGCCGTAATAATCACAAAATAAGCTTTCATTTCATACCTCCATTCACGAAAACTATATACAAATCGCGGCAATAATGATGGAAATAGGTCTCTAAGTTTGGACGTGGACGGGAAGCTTCGTGTGTATCTCTGTGGCTTGTGCAGCTACTACAAAGGATATCCTATAGAAAGATGCTTTACTCGGGTAAGCCCGACCCTGTGCATAGTGCATTTAATACGCAACTTAATGTGAGTGGATGGTCATCGGTCGTGTGTCTACGGATGTCATGTTGAATATCCATGAGGTATCTCTGTCGTCACGCATATCCTGCATTATGCATGTCCCGTCTGTTTTCGCCCTGGACGTCGACACGGAGGAGGACCTCGGGCGGAGTATAGCCAATTCCACAGAGTAGACTCTCCCGCGGACGATGGCACCGGGCACGGGTACCCCGAGGGCAGGGTTCAGGAGGAGATAGCCGCACCAACTTGGGTCGGCGATCTCATTAAAAAACAATAGAATACAAAGGCTCGCCGAGACGTCGCGCCCCCCGCGGAGCCTTAGCGTATTACTTATATAGACTAGCAGGACCCGCGGAAATCCGCGGGATTCTAGAGGGGGGCGGGGGGTGTAAATAGATATATAGAGACTGTCTAAATTAAAACCACCAAGAACTTTATTTGCCATTCAGGCCATTAAAAAATATACATGTTTAGCGTCCCCGCCCGCTTTTTTTTTAAATATTTTATTTTTTTATTTTTTTTATTTTTGAAAGAAAAAAAACAGCGTTCCCGCCTGCTTCCTTTTTGGGGGCCGCCTCCTATTTTTTTTAAATTTATTTATTTATTTATTTTTTATTTATTTTTTTTGTTGAAAAAAACAAAACATGAAAAGCACTGCTAAAATGTATTTCTGATTTTAAAAAAGAAAAAAAAAAATTGTCGGCCGCCATCTTGAAAAATAGCCTGAATGTCAGGGAAAATGTACGGAGCGGCCATTTTGAAAGAAAAAAAGAAGAAAAAAAGGGCCTCCTTCCCATTTTTCTAAAAAACAGGACGCTAAACATGTTTTTTTTTTAATTTGGCCTTATATAAAAAAACAAAAACGATCCAACTATACCGGTAGTTATTCTTTAAGCCACTGGAACTGCGTAGAGTTCCGTAGTGTGGCGTACCGACTACGCAGAAATTAGGCTGCGTATTAATGGGAAAATAGTCCCTGCGTAGGTTATGCGTAGGCTGGCGTACAGGTTTGCTTATGGTTGCTTACTGTGTGGAAAGCTTTTACTGCTTTGTCAATCTGGCGTAGGGTAGCGTACTGTTGGGTAGTCATATAGCGTAGTGTTGCGTAAAAAGGCGTACTTTCTGGTTCAAGTTTCTACGCCGTAAGTACGCGAAAAAAATTAAACATGTTGAATTGTTTTCGTTCATCTTGCGTACCCCTTTCCGTCCCCCAGCATATAGTAACGTAGGCCAGCGTAGTTGGTACGCAACACTACGCAACTCTACGTATTGACCCCACGCCAAATAATGTATTAAAAATATGCTCATCTGACCCTAATTAAACGCCTAAACCCCCCCGAGCTTTCGGGGGTTTATGGCCCCTTGAAACCCGTGGACCCCACGCCTACACTCAACTCGCTTTGATCTACCTGATCCCCCTCGCCCCCCCCACAACCCATGGACCCCACGCCTACACTCAACTCGCTTCGATCTACCTGACCCCCCCCCCCACACTTTGAAAAATGTTTTGTGGGGTTTGCATGTAACATGTAAGATGCAGATTTTTTTTGTAACATGTAAGATGCAAAAAAAAATATTTTGCCCCCCCCCCCCAACGATCTTATGGCACTTCGGCCTGCCCGCTGTTGTGTTCACGTGTAGGCCTACTTCAATGAATGGATAGACATAAATAGTCGCATGGATGGATACATAATATAGCGTATAGTTGTCGAATATTGGCATGTTTGGCCCTTCATAGTCTCTTCGACTCTGAATAGCTAGCTCACTCACTCACTCAGCTCAGTCGAGCAGCCAGCGCAGCTGCACTGCATACACACTGTATGCGTACGGCAGAGCTCTTGAAACTGAACGATGTTTTTCTCTGATTTTCTTGTGAAAACTTTCCTTTAATAAATGATAATCAAAACTGAGTAAACATGGCCAGAATAATCACAAAATAAGCTTTGATTTCATACCTCCACTCACGAAAACTATATAAAAATCCCGGCAATAATGATGGAAATAGGTCTCTAAGTTTGGACGTGGATATGGGAAGACATCTGTTGCGCCGATTTTAGGCCTAGATATCATGAAATAAGCTAATAAATATCAAATAAAAACTCGACTCGTTTAAATTTTAAATATGAGGTCTACATTTTAATTAAAATAAAAAAAATGGTAAAGATTACAACATCTAAAATATACAAAACAAACACGGGGAAGAAAAAAAAAACACTTGAGACGGAGGCGGGATCGAACCCGTGCGTGCAAAAAGTGCAAGAGCTGCCGGCGAATCGAACGCAACCGGCGCCTCAGACCGCTCGTCCACTTCCGTTTCATGCTAAAGCATGAAATTCGCGACGCATAAATGGGACGTGCGGACGCATCGACGACGTCGACGACGACCGGGACGTCGCACCGGGCCGGGACGTGGCCAATTCCGTAGATTGAAACCCCGTCCGTCCGCGGGACCGCCCGGCGGCGCCCGGGGGCGGGCGGGAGGGGAGATTTGGGCGCCGTAAAATGGACCCCGGATACCCCCCTCGACGCCTTAGCGTATTATTATATGGACTAGCAGGACCCGCGGAAATCCGCGGGATTCTAGAGGGGGGCGGGGGGTGTAAATAGATATATAGAGACTGTCTAAATTAAAACCACCAAGAACTTTATTTGCCATTCAGGCCATTAAAAAAATATACATGTTTAGCGTCCCCGCCCGCTTTTTTTTTAAATACTTTATTTTTTTATTTTTTTTATTTTTGAAAGAAAAAAAACAGCGTTCCCGCCT